AGATAGATAGATAGATAGATAGATAGACAGACAGATAGATAGATAGATAGATAGATAGATAGATAGATAGATAGATAGATAGATAGATAGATAGATAGATAGATAGATAGATAGACAGATAGATAGATAGATAGATAGATAGATAGATAGATAGATAGATAGATAGATAGATAGATAGATAGATAGATAGATGCTTATAAAAGCAGACCAACGTCATTCATTTTGTCTATTGAGATTTGAATTTTTTATACTGATAGGAGAAACGCAGCGTCGCGTTAACTCCATGACATAATGTGCTGCTAATTGAAGCATCACTGAAAAAAATATTTCAGTAAGCTATTTGGAAAAACCACAAAGTTCTGTCCTGAATGTAGCCTATACATTAAAAATAAATGGCAGTATGCTAGAAAAGCTTCATCGTGTTTTATTGTATATGTTAAATGATTGGTTCGCTTAATTTTGAAAGTTGATAGCTAAAACTAAATAATTAAATTACCTAATTAAAAAAAACACGTTTCCATTTCTTAAATTAGGTGTGCATTAAACGATTTATTGAATACCATGGTTATCATGCAGCATTAAATTGTAGCATTAAATTATCATGCAGCATTATATTAAATAGTCATTGACGTTTTATTATGGAATAAAATGTCGACCAATGAAGAGGTAATAATAACTGTCAAGCTTTGGGGTGTTGATCGACTTTATCTACGTTTTGATTATCATTCTGAATCCAATTCATAGTCTTTTTTTCAGCTTTTTGTTCAAAATTTTGTTTATTTCTTTATTTTTTATTTATAAAACGTATCCACATTCAAGTGTTTAAAAAAGAATGCATGAAGCTAGAATAAAATGTTTTTGTTTGCAAGCAGATACCCTGTTCTTTTGTTCTTTTCTGATGTTTTGTATGTTCAGATATTCACGTAACAAAATATATTTGAATTAATACCTAAATAGGGACATAGTAGTATACTTAAAGTATGATGTAAAGTTAACTTAAAGAAAACTTACGAGTATACTTGCAGTATAAAATACTAAACTAATAGTTTACTGAGACTATACTTCAAAGTGTACTAAAAATGTAAGGATTTAATTAGTAAATATCAGTATACCTATAAGTTCACTTTTAGTATAGTTGCAGTACAAACTAAACATGTTGATGTAAACTAGTTGTGTACTCAAAGTTTACTACTGTTATACTTAAAGTATACTTTTATATACTAGAAAGTGGGCCAATTTAGTCCCAAGGAGTATTGAAATAGTACACTTACAAGTATACTACTAGTACACTGATATTTGTATACTTACTAAATAATGTAAACTTAAAAATATACTTGAACTTTACTTAAGTATACTTACTAAAATAAACTTGAAGTATACTACTTTTTGGTAAGGGCAATCCTCTCATTCAGTGGTTTTCAAAACCTACATCCATTTTACTTTATATCAGAGCATTTAGTTTCATGAGTTTTACAATGTTTCATAACTATTGAAAATGATTTGTCATCTTTATTACTTAAGTGAAGTGTTTTGTTTTGTTTGCTTTGATAGATTTTGAAAAGAGAATACTGACTGTGTTCCAAAAGGGATAGTCCAGCTGCAGTCAGGCCAGTATGAGTGCAACCAATCAAACTGTAGAACTGTAAAGCACATGCCAGCCTCATGCAACTTGGTTGCTTTAAAAATCATCATCAAGGTATAAAAGGTTTTTCTGGTCTGCTGTGTCTGAAGTGACTCCTGGCTGGACGAACAGTTAAATATATATTTTTTTAATTTATTTTAGTAAGAAAGCTATATTTTGTAATTGTGAAAATTACTTGAATGATTGTGTTATTGTTATATGAATCATTTACTCTTTAAATTATTAGAGCTTGTGGCTAAATAAGTAGTGGGGAGAGTTTATACAGGTGCATCTCAATAAATTAGAATGTTGTGGAAAAGTTCATTTATTTCAGTAATTCAACTCAAATTGTGAAACTCGTGTATTAAATAAATTCAGTGCACACAGACTGAAGTAGTTTAAGTCTTTGGTTCTTTTAATTGTGATGATTTTGGCTCACATTTAACAAAAACCCACCAATTCACTATCTCAACAAATTAGAATACTTTATAAGTAAAATAAAATCAGATCATAAATAAAATCAGGAAAGAACAGCAGAAAATACTCCCCAATGATGACACTTTAGCAAATGGCTGCAATATAACAAAGAGTGAAAAATTTAAGGGGGTCTGAATACTTTCCGTACCCACTGTACATGCACCAGGATCAAGGATACAGAAATAAGAGCACAAACTGACACTGAGAGAGTAATAGTTTAATTAATAATAAATATTGATCTCCAGCTTTTGACTAACCTAACCACTGGGTGGCAGCAATATCACATGAAACCTTTCAGCAACCCGTTCCCTTTCTGTAAGTCAAGTACATAAATGAATGAAAAATGTTTTTATAAAAAAAAATTAAAAAAAGTTTGAAACGGAGGCATTAATAAACAAAATAGTGTCCATAACTTCAAGCCAGCACATTCAAATGTGACTGAAAAGTGTATTTGGAAACGCATTCAAATTAAGTTCATTGTTATATAGGCTAATGGTTCCGTAATGTGAATTCCGTATGTAATAGCTTTAACGGAACAAAACGGGTCTGTCAGAAGCTCGTGAGTAGTGCTGTACAATGCAACGGTAAGATCTTAATTGCACAAGTCGCTGGCCAGGGGAGGGTACAGATGTGGATCTGTGTTTTGGATCAGTGCCGGGGATCTGACAGTGAGATTTGGCAGTAATGAAGGCATGGAGCATCTGGCCGGCTGTGAATGGCTGAATGGTTCAGATGTGAGGTGTGTCCTCTCCCGTGGGACCTGTGAGACTGACGCCGGATTGGATGAGCTGTTGGAGGAGGGCGGGGCGTATGGAAGGCCTGACCTGAGCCGGAGGAGGAGAGCCGAAGAACGAGACAAAGGAGGGTGAATACTCTCGTTCCCACCACACCCTGCCAAACCGAGTCCCCGACAAACGCATAATGTTTCACTGAAGACTGTGTTTTAAAGTGTAATCGACGCACCTCTACAAAATGCTGTAAAGAGTTAAAGTCAGCTGTATATCTGCTGAAAAACACATCTTAAACTAGTTTAAGGGAGGTTTTGCATAGCTGGCCAGGCTGGGAGACCATCTTAAACCAGTTTAGGACAGTTTAAGCTTTTTTGCCAGCAGTGATTTCATCTGAATTTCAGTATTTCATGCTATAAACAAATAATACCTTGTATTTTTAATTGACTTTAACATAGCTCACTGGAACAAGCTGTAAGCTTTTTAACTCACTTATTCAAGCATTTTCCACTGCTGGACTCCAACATCCACCCTTCTGTCTGAAGGAATTTTGAGCTTGAATATTTGAGCTCTCTGTCACAGACAAACAAGTAACACCTGGCTACCTTTTCTATGTTTAGAGGCAGCACAAAACATGATTTATTCGTAATGCAGAACATTACAAAACAAGGACAGTTTTACTAAAATCACAATGTGGTTTAATTATATAAAAACATGTCCAAAGCAGGAGGTGAAGTATTAAAGTATAAAATTGTTCACAGGCTCTTAAAGAGAGAGAAAAGAAAACAATCTGCAAGCATACACTTGAAAAAAAGTTCTCAATTTTCTCTTATAAGACTCATCCTTCATAACAAATTATTGAAATTATTAATTATTTAAAAATATATATAAAACACAAACTAATGCCAATCTCTTTCATGTGACTACATTGATACAGTAATTAAATTGTAAGCAAAGTACAATGCAGTTCTGTGTTCAGTTTCTGACATTCCCTTCCCTCTTAAATCTTTTTTTTTCAGAGACATGTGCATGTCATTAACTTATATAAATAAACAGATATTTAATAAGCTGCCTATTGAAATGGGTGACTTTCAGTCGGCTTTGTTTTGTCATGCATTCAGATTGATTCATTTATGCTTAATTCCTCAATAGTTGTCATAATAAATTTAAAAAGTCAATCGTTATGACTTGTGTCAAAATAGAAATGAAATCACAAAAATGTTATTCTCAGAGTCAGCTAAACAGCTCGTCACTTAACTAACAACAAAATCTGCATTAAAACATGGGTTAAAGATTTCTTACAGTGCATAAAGTGGACACTCAAATTAGTTTGTGATTTTACATTGTTGTTTTGTATATCTGGTTATGTACACAATTCGTCTGAATGCTTCAAATGAACCTTTTTTCCATTGCCATTTCACATTTCAATGGATTATGTATTTACATCCTGAAGACAACAAAACCCATATGTGCAATTTGGAGATATAATGCTGTGAAAGCTCTGTACTGCACATTAGCTGTAAGTTAATGATAAATACATACAATTGTAACCAATAATTATTCCACTGAAGTACAGTAACATTTTCCAGTCAGAGGTCACCCCTAGAACAAATGCTTATCCTCCATCCTGGTTTAGTCGAACCTGGAGATGGCCAGGTGCACATTCACTGGGGAGTGTTGGGCCAGGACATTCACATTAGCTGTAAGTTAATGATAAATACATACAATTGTAACCAACAATTATTCCACTGAAGTACAGTAACATTTTCCAGTCAGAGGTCACCCCTAGAACAAATGCTTATCCTCCATCCTGGTTTAGTCGAACCTGGAGATGGCCAGGTGCACATTCACTGGGGAGTGTTGGGCCAGGACATTATCCCAGGGTGGGATACCATCCCGAATGAAGAAGAAACAGAGCAGAAGGAGGCATAAGAACAAAATCTTCTTGCACCTGGAATCTTCTCTAGGACCCCCTGTCTCCATTTTTAGTCTTGAGAACAACTAGGACCACCATAACAGGGATTAGGCATATGGGGGTCATGACAAGGGCAAGGATGATGCTGGAAGGGGGGTCCTTCAGTGCCTCTGTGGGGCATTCTTGAAAATAGGTGGTGTGGATATTCACAAATATGTGTTCAACCAACTGATTTGGCCAGGGAATCAGCAGACAGTCAGCAACAGACTCAGTACACACAGTGAAATTGTTGTATGCACTGCCAGAGAGACATATAGAGAAAGAGAGTCACTTAGAGAGTTATCAAACACATCCAGTATTATATATGGCATTTGATAATGCATCCTTAGAATGTACCTTTTTATTTTTTCCAGCGAACACCAGTCGGTACTATTCATGGACCCCATAGCATCATCAAAATTATATTTACACCAGTGCACCAGCACTTCATAGCATTCTTGGGTTCTCAAGGAATTGTTCACACAAACTATACAGTATGTGTCACAGATGCTCATGTTAGCACAGCCTATGATGTAAACGAAATAAATAATGAACTTTGATATAAGTCAATGTGAATCATCCTGTCATGCATAATGGAGTTTTTTGTATATATTGTAGTGTCACTGTCATGCTGCAGTAATTATCTTAGCTTAGCTCATTAACTTACCAAATGTTCCCCCATCTCCATAGGCAGGATCTAAAAAAAATAGAAGTACTGTAAGTAAATAAATACATACATAAACATATACACATATATGTAAATATCTGCAAAATGTGCATATAGCTAATGTGTCCAAACATACGGCAATGAAATGAGATCCAATGGTTTTGCTTATTAAAAATAATAACAACAAATATAACTTGCTTCAGTAAAAAGCACAAAAAAATGATAACTTATAGCCTATTCATGGTTATTAGATCGTTTGTGAACATGTTGGTCATCTGCATCCTTGAAAGCAGATATTTGTCATGCACTGTATAGTGTCTAATTCAGGATAAATGAAAGCTGAAGTTGTCTATCGATGCACACACAAAAAACTTACCACAGAGAACAGACAGAAAGACGCCAAAGAAGCTGAACGATACCCTCATATCAGAGCAAACAAGCGCTGGCGAGCTGCTCTCAACCCGCCGCTGAATGTTCCTGAACTTTTACACCGAAGAACGCTAGGCATAACAGGAAACGCGACGGGTGGAAGCGTGATGCGCCGTCACCACATGTGGAATCACGGTTACCAGATGTTCAGAAAGCTGCTGAGTCTGACCGAGAACGCTTTAATTTCCCCAAGTAATAGTGCTCCACCTCTGTGCGCCTCTCTCTTTCTCTCTCTCTCTTTGCTCAGTCTTCAACAGAAAAAAAGACAACTAAGGCTGTTTAATGACTTTTCACAGATTTTTAGACGCGCCATAAATACAATCCGTGAATTGGTCGTAACTTAAAATATTAAACAAACACGTGTATTTTAAAAAAAGTGCAGGCCTATGAGATTTCAGTGATAAATGTGCTCATGCATGTATGTATTTAGCCTATTTATTAATTTACTTTAAATACCATTAATTAACTCTACAACCTATGTCTCACAAGCGTTCCCTAGTAGGCTACATAGTAACGTGGGTCTTGAAAGTATTAACTTGCGGTCCGACTGATTCACAAGAGTTTTTGATAAAGAACCGCTTCATACAAGTAGGCTAATCAGTTCAAGAATAGTTTAATTCACTTAAACGAACCGAATAAGAGTCATTCGTTCGGGAATCGGACTACACTATCACTAGTTTTGCACTGTCGATTTACACGACAATAATGTACTAAAAGCAGAAAAGTTTTGCGTTCACGTTTCTGAAAGTATACAGACGACAACATTGTCAAAACGACGTTCACATCAATGAAAATGACTAAAAACACGGTATTATTCATGGCAAGCCAGTAGTTGGCGATGTCACTTTGTAGAGTAACACTAAAGAAGCACATAATATGCATGCACATGACCGTTTCCACACATTCACATTTTTGTAGTTTACACAGAGACGATAATCGCCTTTTTAAAAAACTGTTTTCAAAAGTTTGTGTTTTCAGGCCCCCAAAGGGCCCCCTTTACAGGTTGTGTAAACACCTCCTTAGGGGCACAATTTATGACAATGCTGATGTCACACACATGTGTATTACATGTTCAGTCTAGGCATGCGCAAGTTCTTCACAGCATTTTAGTCATTTTCTCAGATCTGTGTCAACGGGGATCGTTTTGACAATGTTGTTGTCTGTACGCAAATCTTCTCAAAAATGCGAGGGAAAAACTTTCCTGTTTTTATACATCATTGTCATGTAAACGTACCCTTAGTGGAGGTGTTGCAGTGAGTACAGTGGAAATGTCAAATTATTTTAGTAGTACATGCACGTTCGAGAAAACTTAACCAAGCTTCACAAAAGTTCGCCTTCAGTATTTTTGTTTAAATGGAACTGTTTCTGCATAAGAACCGGTGCTCAGTTCTAGTCCTGACTCTTGATATTGTAAAGCACTGTTGTGTTTAAAGATTGCTGTTTCCCCGAGGTGCGGATCTTTTCTGGGCTGAGCACACCCAGGCCAGATGCACATCTGCAAACGGGTCTTCCCCTTGAAAAAACACTTTTCTCTCAGGTTGATTCCTCGTCGGCTCAGTGGTTCTGATTTATTTGCATTTTTTGCATCTGTTTCCAAACAGGAAACATAAGTGAACATTTAGGGGCAGAGCAGTGCAGCTTGATGGAACATACACTTTTAAGAATAACTGGGTCGTATTAAACAGATCGAGTTCGGGAAACTATATAATCAGAGTTTGCCATCTGTGCTTGAAGGGCTGCACTTTTGGTTTGAGCCCAGCTGGGACTGAATCAAACTCACTCACTTCAAAGGAAGAGAAAGAAGTGAATCCAGGGCCGAGGGAGGGCTGGAACAGTTTATGTAACACTTCTAGGCATGTGGATCTCATGTTTACCATGTGAGATTATCTTCAACCAGTACCAATAGATTAAGTCTACAAAATAGCATTTAGTGTAGTATTCATGTTTTAAAAAGTTTTGATTTAAAACATTTTTGTTTGTGTAAATCTCAATCTGTAAAGAAAGATGAGTTTCAGAACTCAAAATTTCCTATAGCCTAATAGACCAGTCAGGTTAGAAGCCATATTGAATGTAACATGGAAGAAAACGAGGCTGTAAGGGATAGACTTAAAGTCAATGGGACACACTTTGTAAAGGCCCCAGGTCATATCATTTTTGCCAACTCACAACTTTCAATTACATTTTTGCACCTGATTTTTTTTGTTTGTTTGTTTTTTGGAAACAGTATGATTAAAGTAACAGATCAATTAAAGTACAATCCACTCAAAACACTTCAATCCCTCACAGCCTTGTTTTCATTCCTGTCAAAAATTAAATATGGTATTACCCTGATTACGGTCTATACCCCTGAAGAGAGATCAACCAATCAAATAAGTCATTACCATTGAAACAAGAACTCTCTCCCAAGAAGCATTGCAAATGGCTTAAGTCAGTCTTTCTACAATATCAAACATCCTATATATTTTAAACAATCGTTTTGCAATAAACATCACATTTATTGTATATATTATAGGTATTCAACAAATATATATATATATATATATATGTGTGTGTGTGTGTGTGTGTGTGTGTTGTATAAACATGTTTTATAGGTAGCATGGCATATGTGTTATTAAACTTCATATATTTGAACAATGCAGACTTTCTTTGTGTTTTTGGCTCCTAATAACAGGCCAGTCTAAATTTCCCCCGTGCCCATGTGTTTATTCAAATCTCAAACTGAAGCAGTTGGTTTATTCTTTGTTCCAGAGACTCTCCCATGCATATAAATATTAGAAGAAAAAGTGATCGAAAGTGTCAACAAAATCTCTCACCACAATGAAGAATTGCAACACAATATTCTTCTCACCATTATCAACAACTTTGTAGCAGTAACCTTTCAAAGCACTGATTGTCTGCTATTCATTGTTAAGGTGCTCAGTAAGCACTCAATTGAATCTATACACCAAAAACAACCTCACAGTTGGGTTTATTTGGACATAGAACTAAAAAAAACAAAAAAATAGCAGACATGTCTATCATATTTCCGCAGCTGTATCACTCACCTGCTCTGGTGTATGCAGTGGTTTGTACTTGTGTCGGCATGGTTGATGCAGTGTGTCTCTAGAGCACAGAAGAAAAATACATATTCATGAGATACAGAGGAAATTTTACAAAAATTAATTTTAGAGCAACTAGAAATCAATCTTAACACAACTTACCACAGTTGGTCTCTGTTCGTTTGGTACCAGGGTCTGCAGAGTTGAGACCATTAGACAAAGACAGACTATCATGAAAAAAACAAACACTGTGGATTACACACATGAATCACACTTGTATTCAGAAACACACAATTTGTCATTATAAGACAGAAAATGCCAGCAGTTTGGGGAAAATTGACAGGCATGGAAAAAGATTCAGGAAGGGAGGAGATGAAGAGAGAGGCATGGAACATCCTCCCTTTGTCCTGACCAGTTGAATCATGACAGTCATTTCCTCAGAAGCTTTTCAATTTATTTATATCTACCATATAGTAACTTAAAGCATCGTTTTAAAGAAGTCAGCAGTGTAATTTACATGATATCCCATTATATCTTCTTGATGGTCATTAAGGCGATAAAGATTATTATATTATATTATATATTAATAGATGATAATAGAATTATTAATTAGATTTCAAATTTCAATTAAATAATGGAATTTGAATCAGTATTCAGAATCATAATTAATATTCTGAATTATCAATTAGAAAAAGTGCAAATACAATTGAAAAAATATTTAAGATAGCTAATAGAGTGAGTCTTGATTCGATCTTTGCTCAATTACAAGCATTCTCTTCTGGAGATTGCCTCTGATTTTAAGTTTCAAACACAGTAAACCAAACTTTTATTCTAAAGGTTCTGATACTCACCCCAAAACAGAAGATTCCCTACTGGTTTTGAAGCAGATATAGATATGTGTGCCATTACGCTTTAATCCTGTGGTAGTTCTATCTGTCTGTCCACCTCAGCTTGCACAAATCACATGTATGAACTCTTCAACAGGAAGATTCTGTTTAAAGGGGTGGTGGATTCACAAATGGAGAGACATTACAGATAGGATGGGCTGTCTATCCCAATGTTGCCATCATCTTTCTCTCTGAATCCATCTGTCTATCTATTTGTCTCTGTCTGTCGTATTGTTGTATTAAATCTATTGTATTTGTTTTTAATGATTTTTTAAAAGTATTGCTTTGTGTTTGAATAATTCCTGATTATTCAAATAATTAATAATAACTCTTTTTATGTCTGCCAAACATTTCTGGCTCTGACAAATGTCAATTGATGCATAAACTATAGTGAAGTATGTGTGTTTGTCACTGCACACTTTTGTTTAACAGCACTCTTGTTGTATGTTTTCCTCCAACATTACTCTCAATCACTGTGTAGGAGAGTCTAAGTGGATGGACTGGAAACTTTTTTTGAAATCAACAAAGCATGAACCAAATTTTGCTTTTAGTTTGGCTCATTTGTTTATCATGTAGATTAGAGTATATATACATGATGTGATGTATGATGTTTTGGTAGAAGCCCAACTGGCATTTACTCAGAACTGAGGAAACAGTGCGGAAATGGAGGAATTTGCTATTCAGGATGCTTTCCACATGGTTTACACATATTTAACTTATTAATTCCATTATTAAATATTTATCAATTATGTAAAATCCCAATATATGGTGCATTCAAAATCCAAATTAAAAATCCCAAATTTGCATGGTCTTCCGCATGGACAACCAAATTCATATACATGTATAATGTAGAATAATTACATTGTAAATAAGACATTTCTTTAAAATATTACACCAGAACTGGCTTCTGTGGTAGGTCTCGCAGTGTTTATTATCATAGAGTTGAGTAAGCAAGCTCATTCCAAACAGACTGTTTCTTTTAATGTTTCTGGCAGGAATTCTGTTAACCTCATCTGGCCATACAGGGGGTCTTACCCAAGGTGCTTTGGAGAGCGAACTGTGCTGCAGAGAGGAAGAGAGATAAAGACTGATGACAAATCCACCCCCTGAGCATTGGCACAGAGGAGTGTCTCCCCTCGCTATTGACGTACACAGAGCTACACCACTGCCATTGACGCATGTACACCATGACCACCACTGGCGTGCACTCATTTCAGTTCAGGAGTGATGCAAGACGAGAAAGTTTCATTCCCTTAGAGTTTCTGCACACACACACACACTCTCTCTCACAGCAACAGATGTGTAAGTTAACGTCATCTGGCGATTCCCCCTCTCTCACTCAGCTGGGCTTGGTCTGGTGCCTGGTGAAGTTCTGAGGACCCAAATTACTTCCACATTTGATTCACATTAGTAAGGAGAGGCTTGTTTTCCACCCTTAATTGGATTGCTCTGTTTATAAAGCAGATTAAGTTAGGGGGACAGAAAACACAGGGTTTATTTAGCAGTTTGGGACACTTCAATTTCGCAGAATTGGAGTTCCAAATGGCACATTAAGTACAATAACATATTTTTACAGTATTTTACAATGATAAACAACAGAAAAGCTGATTATAATTATGATCACATAGTGATTGTGGTTCAAAAAAAACAATTCCATAGGAACACAAATGCCGCTCATGTTTGTGAACAGAAAATGTACTCAAATTGTCCATGAATGCAATGTGATATTATAGGTCAGTGGTTTTTAAACTGTGAGTCACAACCTATAGTCTGATTCATGAAACAAATTACTCTTTTAAGCCAGTTCTTTTAATGAATCATTCAAAACAAATCACAGTCTCAGTAGTTCAATCTGAATCCCTTATACAAAGAATGAATTTACTGAATCTATCAGTTTGGCCACTGAATCTTACTCAACTTCCATGTCAATCTCTCTATTAATAATAATTTGGTCTTAAATTATTTTGGACTTTGTTTGTTTGTTGTTATTTTCTTCTGATAAAAGTTTTAAGTACTAACCTTAAGTACTTAAGTATTTTTTAAAATAAAAGTTCTTTACTGGAATCTATGGAACTTTTCCATTGTACAAATGATTATTAGTTGAAACGGGTTCTTATTAGAAACAATTATAAAGTGTTGTTTTAAGAATAAGAACTGTTTACTGAAAGTCTTTTTTTGGGGATGGGGAGGGGGTGATGACATATGATACTTATACGAAATGAAAACTCCGGTTTGGAATCTTTTTTTTTTTTTTTTTTAAGAGTGTAGCATGTTCACTGAAGAAAGAAAATAACTAGAAGGATTTAATGGTAATGATTCCACATTATATTATGAAGTATGTAAAAGATATTCTTTTCATATTCAAATATTATTCTCATACAGAAAGCTAAAGCTTATATACATGTTTGCATTTACATGCTTTAAAGCCTCTGTATCTGGAGCTGTTCAACACCATGTCAAATGTCAGTCCCCACTATAATTCATTTCATCCTCTAAACTCAGTGCCTCAGAGCAAAATGATCATCCCTCAGTAACCCACACACCGCCGGATACTAATCTTCATTTGACATGCCAAAACCAACATTCAGGGTTTACACTGCACATAATAAAAAACTTTCCACAGATAAGACCTCCCTCTTATGTCTATCTTTCTGCCTGTGTTTGCTACTATTGTGAGGTCCAAGATAAACACTGGACTGGCCTAAGAAAACCCTGTTAGGATGGGCCCATTACTGGGATAAGAATGTGAGGAAAAATTGTGTTACCACTCCATCTATCACATACTGAAGTGCTGAGCAAAACCACCTCGACATATAGACAGAAGAAGCTGAAACACCTGCAAGTGGCCAGTCTTTAACCAAGCCTGCATAATCTCAAACCAACACAATGTCAGTATCAGAAAACAGAAGACAGAAAATCTGGTGAAATTCAGATACAGTAAACAAAACATTAATATCCAACAAAAATAAAGACGTTCATTACAATAGTTTACACGTCAGAATTTCTTCCTTGTCAGTTAAAGGGATAGTTCACCCAAACATTAAAATTATGTCATCATTTACTCACCCTCAAACCTGCATTTCGTTCTTTTTTCTGCAAACACTAAAGAAGTTATTATGAAGAATGTAACCAAAGTTTAGGTTACCATTGACTTCCATTGAATGGACAAAAAACACTGAGACATTTTTCATAATATCTTCTTTTATGTTCCACAGAATAAAAATTAGATTTGGAGTGACGTTGTAAATGATGAAGCAGTTTTCATTTTTGGTGACCTGGTCTACATATACACTATGTTTTTTTATGTTAAAATATTAAGTATGGAATCTAATGTTATTCAATTCAATTCAATTCAATTCAATTCAAGTTTATTTGTATAGCACTTTTCACGATACAAATTGTTGCAAAGCAACTTTACAGAAAATTAAGTCTGTACATATATAGTTCTTAAGCTATTACTCTATGACAGTGGCTCCCAACCCTGGTCCTGGAGGCACCCCAACACTGCACGTTTTGCATGTCTCCTTAATCAAACACACCTGATTCAGGTCATCAGCTCGTTAGTAGAGACTTCAAGACCTGAAATTGGTGTGTCAGAGAAAGGAGACATGCAAAATGTGCAGTGTTGGGGTGCCTCCAGGACCAGGGTTGGGAACCACTGCTCTATGAAACCAAACCAAATATCATTTCCATGTCCTTGCAACACGACTGAATTGTTTTTCTTTAAGAACCTACAGTGTCAATGAATACTCTGGGATGGTTATGTCAAAAATGAAAATGAAAATTTCTATGTTGTTCCAAACATGCCTGTGAAGAGTCGCCATTCACTTTCATTGCATATTTTTTCAAACAAAATCTAAAACTAAATAGGGCCTGAAACAGTCCTTCTGCATAATACCTCATTTTATGTGTTTCACGAAAGAAAGAAAGCCAAACAAGTTTGGAGCAACTTGAGTTAGACTTTTTACTTTTGGGTGATCTGTCTCTTTAAAAAAAAATAGGGCTAGGTGTAAATGGTTACATGTCGCCATCTAGTGGATTCATAAATGTCAAAACATCTGTCGAAAACTTGCTATGAGATGTATTCTTAAATTATATAACATAATATAACATTATTATTATTATTATTATTGCATTTGTAGTTGCATCATTACTATGCCTATATTTTATTTGTATTTATTTCTTTTTAAATAATAGTCGCAATAGCAGTCATTGGGGCTCACATAATAGTAACAGCCTATTACTGATCTAATTGCTGCCAGGGAGCGGGTAAATGTATAAAGCATTTTACTGCTATTCATACTGCGTTACGATCTCTCGAGCGCGTCCATTCAAGCGCGTTCTCGTTGGGTCACGTGTGACGTGCAGAGAAGGGCAGTGCCTTCCGCGTCGCGCGGCGGGCGGACCCCACGCTGCCCTCGGCCCCTCGCTCGCTCTCCGGAGGAAAACAGCACATGCTAAGCGTAAGCGCTGCGGATCTCAAGCGAGCCGTGGAAAAACAACAAGCATTGGATCTTCAAGCCAGGCCCCTTTGCGCGGAGTCTCTGCATACATTAACATCCACGTGTACATAATACGTCAATACATATGATTAGGTATCTTGCTATAAAGTAAATAAAACTACTCAAAAGGTTTATATGCAAGCTGTTTCTGTCATCAGCACTTTATGTTTATATTTAAAATACTTTTTTAAATGTGCATTTTAATTTATAATGAACATTATAAAGCACGCTACTATGGGACTATTCAATATTAATAATAATATTAGACGGATAATCGTTATTAATCAAATTTTAAACGAAGCTTACTAAATGTCTGAGCTCATGCATATGTTTGCATTCAGGCTATTACTTATTCAGAAAATGAGTTGCATTATTATTTTCCTCCTCGGCGCACTCGTAGCCTGTGGTCCAGCCAAAGAGAGCTGGAGTATGTTCATAATAAAGACGTCACCCTGTGCTCTGAACGTGCCAACCAAGTGCGCAGCTCTTAACTGTACAACTACAATCTCGACATGCTTACGGACGACCGAGGAACCCTCACATCCCCTGCGCTCGTCAACACAAGCATTCTGGCGCCGA